CGACGTCTATTGAACAAATAACTTATACAACACATAGTTACTGATTGATATATTATAAGACTACCAACAGTCAAAATCCTTGGCAAACCACATCGTTAGAAAGCTTAGCAAACAAAGCAAATTCTGGAAGTGTATGTGGGCGTTGCTAGGTGACAGACTCAAGTCATCACTCCAACAATTTGAAAGGCCAGATTTCTTAAAGAAGTTGTTTTATTTCTTTTCTTTGGGAAATAATTAGACTAACAGAAAAACTGAACTCAGAATTCTACTTTCTAATTCATTATTGCTATTATGTGTATAAGAACATGAAACTTGCATTCCTCATTTTACTAACATACAATGTTTCCATGGCTACAATGTAAACTCAGCCTTTCATAGTTCCCCACTTTCTCTTTCTAGGGTGTATGAAATATTTCTTTATCTAGAAAAAAAAACTGTTCTCTACTATTAGCTTTGTTTGTTCTCAAGCACAAAGTTACACGATGGAATAACTGTGCTGTGCCCACCACGGGTATCAGAACCGGATTTTTAGCGTTATAATCTCTTTAATTTACCGCTGAGCCATTAAGGGGCTACTAATTAGAAGTAGCTAAGTTACTCGGTGACCTTGATGAAAGAAGTTCGACCTTCTGTAATCTCTTCTTATGTTAAAGCTACTTGTCAGATATAAAAGACTGTTCAGTGTAAGTAGTACTATTAATTAGTGTATTTTGTGTTTGTAATTCATTTATGTCGAGGCTATCGAGCGTTGTGTTTGCAATCCATTGATGTCGAAGCTAGGGAGATTTCTAGAAGGCCTAAGTGGTAGACGTATAAATAGCTGCGACCAGACGAACGAAAAGAGAGTAAAAAGTAAAGTCACGTAAAAGAGAAGTTCGGTCAGATAAAAGTTAGAAAACGTCGTGGTAGTGAATGGCCTAACGGTTGATATGTTAGAATGATATTAACAGTTTGAAAAAGATAAGGAGAATAATTTGTCTCGTCAAAGGGTGTTATAAACTAATTGAACCCGTCTGTGTGAACTTTGACAAAAGGCAGACGATTATTTGAAGTACAAAGAGCAGACAATTATTGGAAGTTCAGAATACAACTGTGGTAATTCATGTAACAGCATAAGTGAATTATACACGAATATCATTGCGATAAAAATAGTTCGACTTGTCAACTGAATTCTAAAGGTAATTGAATTAGCCTAAGTGGACTTTTGACAACAAGAAGAGAACTGTATAGTGTTTAAGATACAACTATGATGTCCATAGTGTAAAGAATTTTTGTACATACGTTTAACTTGTTTCGAGTAAATATATTATTTTAGAAACAAGTGGAGTGCGTGCTGTTCGTTTATTGCCGAATTTATCGCCAACAAGTCACACACACCTACTGTAGAAGAATCCTTAGCCCAACACACCCATATATTTACATTACTATATATACTACTAAAAAAGCATGTTTCTGACACTACTCAATAAACTTGGTAAAGGAAGTTCGACCTTCTGTAATCTCCTTTTGTGGAAACCTACTCAGTAAACTTGGTAAAGGAAGTTCGACCTTCTGTAATCTCTTAAGGAGAATATTTATTAGAGAACACTATTGTAATAGCTGTTCAAAGATACGTGTCATTTGGGTGTATTAACAATTGAAAAAGAAAAAAAACGTCTCTCACTAGAATAAACTGGGACCGCTAATTAGTGATGAAAAGTTAAGAAAAAAGATTAGATTATCACCAACAATGTTCTATAAAGGCAAATAAAAACAAATGAACTGTGATATGGCAACAATCGGAAAACCACTTATTTTGGACGCAAACAAGAAAAAAAAGGTTTTAGTGGAATTTATAATGAAACACTAGATACTGAACAAATGACAGGGTGTACCCTTGTCTGATGTGTCCTGAACAACCGATAGGGTGTAATGTTACCTGATGAGTCCTGAACAACTGATAAGGTGTAACGTTGTCTGATGAGTTCTGAACAACCGATAGGGTGCAAAGTTATCTGATGAGTCCTGAACAACTGATAGTGGTTTGAGTCCTGAACAACTGATAGGGTGTAACATTGCCTGATGAGTCCTGAACAACCGATAGGGTGTAATGTTGCCTGATGAGTCCTGAACAACTGATAGGGTGTAAAGTTATCTGAGGGGTCACGAACAACTGATAGGGTGTAACCTTGTCTGATGAGTCCTGAACAACCGATAGGGTGTAAAGTTATCTGAGGAGTCCTGAACAACTGATAGAGTTTTAACATAGCCTGATGAGTCCTGAACAACTGATAGGGTGTAACGTAGCCTGATGAGTCCTGAACAACTGATAGGGTGTAATGTTGCCTGATGAGTCCTGAACAACTGATAGGGTGTAACGTTGTCTGATGAGTTCTAAACAACTGATAGTGTTTAACGTTGCCTGATGAGTCCTGAGCAACTGATAAGGTGTAATCTTGTCTGATAAGTCCTGAACAACTGATAGGGTGTAAAGTTGCCTGATGAGTTCT